ACAATCCATAGGATCATGATGCCAGGAGCCCACCTTTCAGACATGTTGATCCATTAGGTCTTTCTCCTGTTCAGTGATTTCAGCTCCGCAAGAACTGCAGGTTCAGAGGCCTAGTGTACCTAGCTCTCCAAACGTATTCTCCCCTATGAACCATCAAGATTATTAAGATCATCTGGAGAGGCCCTGCTCTCGGTCCCACCGGCCTCGCAAGCGTGTCTAGTGGGGACGAGGGACAGGGCCTTCTCAGTGGTGGCCCCTCGACTCTGGAACTCTCTCCCACTGGAGATCAGAACCGCCCCTTCTATCCTGACATTTAGGAAACAGGTGAAGACTTGGTTATGGAGACAGGCATTCGACGAGTGAGCCAAAACCCTGAGATATGGATGGATGATGAGCAACGATTTTAGTGTGACGACTGACCATTATAGTTATTGATTGTAATTGCTGTTTTAATATTTTACTGTAATATGTATTATGATGTTTTAGTGATTGTATGTGATATTATGGTTGGAAACCGGTCTGAGTCCCTCAAGAGAGGTGAGAAGGTCGGTATACAAAACTTTTAAATAAATAAATAAATAGCTCCAAATGACTGAATAAGACACGGATGGGTTGAAGGCAAAGAACAGATGTGTTAATTCAACTTGGCCAAAGTGGACATCAGCAGTCTGCGCTCCACAGACGGAAGCAAGCGCAATTGCAAACATACAGGGTTATTTATAGCACTTTGACAGCTATTGGGGGGGGGGGGGGGGATTTTGCCGCTCTGACCACTGATTGGGCCAGACTGGAGCCAGCCAGGGTCCACTCATTGATTGGTGCAGACACACCGTCCGTCATTGCTATCAATTGGCTTACAGGTTGTGGTAAATTTCATAAACCATCATTGCTTGGTTTGAAGTCTGGTGGTTGTTTTGAAGTCTGGTGGTCTGCCTATGGAAGGGGTGCAAATGGAATAGAATACGGACTGGGTTGGTGTCTGTCCAAAATAGGACAATGGGTTTTGGCTAGCCAAAGAATTAGTTTGAGTGGTGTTGGAACAGCCGCAGTGGAGACCTCAGGAAAGGGTCTGATCTGGCGATGGGGATCGGGAAGTGTTCCCAGGGATAGAGTTAGATAAAATCTCGGGAAAGCCTTTTGGCTTTGTTTAAGCCTATTATGTGACAATCAAGATATTGTGAGGGGATTATGTCTTTACCTGGAGTAAGTGGTGGGCGATTCCCTGCTTGTGCAAACTTTAGCGAGTTCATTTGGAAGTTGCCTGAAACTGGGGAAAAGGTCATTGCGGACTTAATTTCTGGGTATCCATGGAACCGCAGGTTTTGCGGTCCATTTCGGGGTTCTGGTTTTTGAGAAAAATCCCATATGCTGGTGATGCAAACTTTGGGGTTTCTTCTCAGAACAAAGGGGAAAAAAAACCTCACGCCACTTACTGAATTTGTTTGCGACAACTTGACTTCTTAAGCGTTGGCAGCAAGAGAGAATCAGTGCTGAGACCGAGCTAATAACTCACCAAGCACAAAGGAAGTGGGGAATCTCAGTATCTCCCTGATGTGGTCTCGCCACTTCCTGGCCACTGCTTGCACATGCAGCCTGAATGGCTTCCTCCCTGTTTCCCCACTGCAGACGGAGGGGGAACCCCTTCACTAATCTCAGCATCATTAGAACCTCAGCCCATGAAGTGCAGCACACAGCTTCAGAGAAATAGATGTGGGTACTGCAATATCCACCCTCATCAAAGTTATTACAGTGGTACACTGTAATAACTTTTAAAAGACGTTGCTGGGTGCCTCCAGTACTTCCCCGATCCCAGCCCTCCCAGTGTTCAATTGTCTGGAATGCTGTGAGACAGCCCATGCGAGAACATTGTGGAGGCCCACCCAAAACCATCCTTCTCCACTTTATGTACCCCACATTCCTCCTTTCCAGTTTTAAGGGATCTACTCATTGACAGAAGCAAAGCACCAAAGTATATGATTGGAAAATATCAGAATTTATTAGAATGGCTGATGTACATGGTCTCTCCAAATACAGATGATTACTGTGAACCGCTATACTGGAAACATATTACAGCTATGTAATATCCTTTAAATGTATCTGTCCAAAATCCTGTTCAAAAGAAGCACACAACAGTGGAAGAAGGTTTTTTAGTTAATCTAACCATACAGAGAGCTACACAAGCTCCTCCTGAGAAGATCAGCAAGCATATTCCCAAGATGGAGGAGAGCCAGGATAAGGACACTAGGAGCCAGCTGTCCTGGCAATTCCTTGGTTTGTGTCTGTTTGGAAAAACAACCACAGCCAGATACTTGAGGGCAAAGATATCCCCCAAAAGGACTACCTTTTGGTGCTGGAATCACCACTGTTTCTGAGAGGCTCAGGATGGCTTTGATGAGAATGCAAAGCACACATTACTTAAGGCTGAAGGGGAGAAGGAGAGCCAGTGTGTGAGCCCCTGCTTGGCCACGGAAGCCCTTCTTGGGAAAGTCGCATCCTCTCGACCTTAGGGGAAGCAAAATCCTGCCAAGAACACTCCATGATTGGTTTGTCTTGGGACTGACGTAAATTGGGACGGGCTTGAAGACACACAACAAAGTGGACAAGACCAAGACCTGCGGGCCCTAGAGTGATAAGGGAGTCTTCAGGCACTCAAGATACTTCTATTTGGTGCTTGTTAAAGCTTTGATCACAAGCCAGACGCATCTTCTCAGCAGCTGAGATGAGTTCTACCATTTACATAAAAAGATCTGCATAGATTTGGGCTGCTGGTTCTTACTATTTCTCAGCACCCGTCTTCATAGCAGGCGATGAAAAACCCGCCCCTGCGGATTTTTACGCAACATGGCCCTTGCCACCAGCATGTCACTTTAGGCTGGCACTTCAAGCTGAGCATGCTGCTAAGAGAGCACATTACAGAACGTGACCTGGTCTGACTGCACACGATTTCCAAGACATTTATTCACAAGAGGGAAGGTGGCAAGGAAGATGCAAGAACATGAGGAGACACGAGGGAAGGAAAAGACAAGGATATTAAAGAATGAACAGGAGAAATGGAGGGCACTAACTGGGCTGTTGTTCCTCAGATGACAACCCAGAGTTCCTTTGAGGAGTGAGCAGTAACAGCAGTTCTTTCTGCTCCATCAGTTGTGGGGATAAAGATGTAGAACTATTGACAAGGACAGAGAGTCTAATTTGGAGAAAACACTGCAGGGTGGGAAGCAGCTGGTAAGAGGAGATCAATAGCAGGAAGATAACGTACAAGAGAAGAATGGAAGAGGAGGGGAGTAGGCAGTGACTTTGGATCGGTCAAATACTTCTCTTTTCACTGGCTCATAGCTATAGTCTTCTGGGTGCCAGTTCCCATGACGCTTCTTTGCCGGCTTAGCTGTCCCCATTCCTTAGTGCTCCAAGCCCAAACCCCTCTCACCACCATTTATTTCCATCCTGAAATCTGTCCACCTAACAGAGCCCAGTTCCAACACTCTTCTCCCTCCTGGCACTCTGTATCCCATGGTGTCCTGCAGGGAGCAGCTCACACTTTTCCTCCATATCCTGGAATAGACATCAAGACAAGAATCTTTTAAATCCAACTCTATCATGAGGTTTGATTTGGTGGGTTCCATAGCAACCTCTTTCCTCTAGCTGTGATGTAGTGCTGAGCTGCTTTTCACGGATTCGCCTGATCCTGTCTCCCAAACTTTACCTTTTGTGGGTGGTGGTGGGAGCAAACCAGCCACCAGTGAAGGCACCTACTTTCTCTTTGCCTTTTCCATCATCACGTCTGTCTTTCTCTTTTGTTTATCTACACTTCACTTAAGCATTCTTGAATTTGGGTAAGCAAGGAGCATAAGCATCCTATATCAAGACCTCCAGAGTAGCTGAATGCCATACTCCTTGGAGGTTACCTTCTCAGGCATAAAGCACTCCCTTGTGGGTCAAGGCTTTGTGGCGTAAGGCTTACTATTTGCCACTCGCTGCCTTTTAGGCCCCTCTTGTCTCCACTTGAAGGCTAACACTTCTTTAGCAAGAGGATCTGTCTCCTTTGTCCCTCAAAAGGAGGGACCTCTGTCCAAAAGCAAGAAATAGCCATTGAAGATGAGCACTAAGCAAGATGCTGGGATATGGGGAGACATTTCAACTGTGAAGCAATAACAGACATGTTGTGGGTAGAGACAACCCATATTTTAAGCCACAGTGAGCAGGTGGAAGAAAAGCAGCAGCAGCAACAATATCAGCAGGAGATGCTAAGAGGCAGGAGGCAATGCTGGGGCTCAGGTACCAGCAAGCACAGGACAGAATGCCACCAAACACATCAAGCACTAGCAATGGAAATGGTCATACCAGCACATTCCACACAAAAACAGCCTCTACTTCAGACAGGACTCTCAAAGGGCCAAGCTTCAGAAGCCACCCTCTGGGATAGCCACCTAGGAGCCCATCCATGCTGGGGGATATCTCTCTCTTTATTTTTTAGCCAGGGAGGGAGGGAATGCCTTGAATTCAGCTTATGGAAAAGGCAGAACTCAGATAGGAAAGCTCAGATGGGGACTCGCTGCCCATGAAGAGCAGGTGCTGGGAAGCTGTGAGGCCCAAAAGGAAAAGGGTGGAGAGAAATGTGATGAATTCTGTGGTCCTCAATCCCATGTCAAAGATTCTGTAAGAACATTGTATATGTTTACTGATGGAGGCAGTGTTTGCTCATGCCTCTCCAGATGGGAAGAGCTGGCCTCTGTAGCCCTTTCTCCACACTCCCTCCTGCATGGGAGCTTAGGGCTGCTCTCAAGGGCAGCTGGCTCTAAGACACATACCTCTCTTTGATCTACTGCTTAGTTCATGGTCTCCTCCTCCTCCTCAAAATGATAAAGATTAGATAAGAACAGTCAGGTATTCACAGTGTTTTATTCTCTCCTCTGAGCCCACCTAGCTTCCCTGCTGATGACGTCAGGGACTCCAAGTCCTCATGGTACATTAGCTCTTGCCACATGTCATGTGGCAGTTGAAGGGTTTGCAGACCTTGGCTTCTTGGACAGATAAGACATAAGCTCATTCACCAACAAGAATGGGGGAGTGGTTGACACTGGGCAGCCTGTTAATGTTTCTTGTAGCGGTTCTTGGGGGCTTCGCCACAGCCTGTTGTGTCACAGGAGAGGACACTGGGCTTCTTCCCCAGGCCAATGCTACCCAGGAGGTCTGGCAGCTCATGGGTGATGGCCTTCTCAATCTTCTCCAGGAAACACCCTCCCATGTAGGAGCACTGCTGGGCCAGGAGCTTGAAAGTGTTGATGGGATTGATCCCAAAGAAGTCCTTGTATGCCTCACGGTTGGGGAGGTCAAACTTGCTGACATTGGTCTTCGCCAGGATGGACTTGAAGATGTAGAACTTGTCTGGATCCTCCACAATGTCCTTGAACACCAGCTCCCCATCACTGAAGAAGGTCATTTTATCCCTATATGTTTGCAAGTAGCGGTCGACGAGGAGCGCATGGATGCGAACCCGGATGGCATGCTGGCGGATGAAGGCGATCTTGTTCTCTAGCCTGTTCTCAATCACTTGGTTCAAATCCTCCAGGAGGGAGATCTCCTCTTTCAGGAAAAGCTCTCTGTGGGTGTCAGGGTGGTAGTCCAGGGGCCAGAAGGAGCTGACATAGACCCGGGGAGGCTCTGTGACATTGATCAGCGGGGCCAGACTCCAGAACAGGGCTCCGTAAACACGCATGAGCTCCTGTGTGGCCAGGCTGTCCGCCTTGTTCAGGATGATCCGGATCTGAGATTCCCGTCCCTTCAGCTGGCGGAAGAGCATCTCCAGCTCAAGGCCCACATCTAGCTTGGTGGGGTCAAAGACCACAAAGATGAGGTCAGCTCTGTCGATGAACCATTGGCAGACATCATTGAACGGGTAGCCTATATGAGTGAGAGAACAAGAGAAAGATAGAGAAGGTTAGGCTTACAAGAGGGCAAGAGACTCCTGGCATCTGGAACATGATCATTGCTTGCCCACCCAGCCTTAGCATCACATCACTGGAGACTCATACTTCTGGATCCCTATGGCCATAATCTGGCTAGGAATTGTTTACAGCCTGGGCCAAGTATAAAATATAAGTAGTTCTGGTTCACTTATCCTGAAATGAGAAGCATTTCTTCCCGTGTTAGTTAAATATCCTTTAAAAAAGGTGAAAGGTGCCAAGGAAGGCACCAAATAGGACGTTTCATAACTGGAGAATAGTTAGAAGAGATATTGTTCCTGCTCCTTCCCCTGAGCCCAATGGCTAACAAAGAGTCCTCTTTGAAAAAGAGGGGCACAGCATTACCTCTTTCCTGCTGCTTCCGGTTCTCGATGATGCCTGGGGTATCCACAAAGGTAACCCTCTCCAAAAGCTTATGAGGGACCTCAATCCCAATCAGCTTCTCCAGAAAGTTCTGGCCAAACTTTTCAAGAGGCGAGAAGGAGCGGGCGCTGTCTGCCGCCATCACAATTCCTTCGATGGTCTTGAGCTTGGGACCATGCATGATGACGGTGAACTCTGAGGTGGTGGGCTCCGCCCCTTTCCAGGAAAGAGGCAAGAAGAGAGATATGAGAGGGAAAAAGAAGAGATTGACTATCACAATATTTACTAGGACTTTTGCTCTTATGTGTTGGGCTTGGCAGAATCATCTCAGAGAGAGGCCTGCCTTTCCATAGAAACTTCAACTCAGAAGTTCCCTGCTGGGCTCAGGATGAGTATCAAAGGGAGAAGATGCCCAGGAGGCAGAGGAGGGGAAGAAGGAAAGGTCATTCTTCCCAGTATTAATTGGCTTCACTCAGGGAAGCTGGGAGAGCTCCGTTTTGGGTGATTACTGTGGCTCTGGCAACCAGGCACCCACTGGCAGGAGGAGGCGGGCCCAGTGAGGAGTCTGCTGGGCTTCCTTAGGGAGTGAGAAAGGGGCTTTCTGAGCCCCTTCTCTCTACTTTCAGATGGACCTCCAAATACAAGCATCCTTTCTATTCATGCATCAGTTTCCTGCACATCCAGTACCAGGGCCAGCGAAGAATGCTCTGCTCTTCTCCATTACTCTTTATCTGGGAAAAGGGTTTGGTGGCCGCAATGCCCTTTGCTGCACCTCACTTTGGCTCCAGCTTTCGAGGTCTGGACAGCTTCTCTCCTGGGGGTCCCACCTTCACAAAATGGGCAGCAAGGCCAGACATCCTGGGCAGGACCAGGGAGAAAGGCACAGGAAGACTCCCCCTCCCTGCTACCTGTATACAGCTGATAGGGAGTATCATCCAGGCCCAGGAGGTAGTTGATCATGGTGGATTTGCCAACACTCCATGGTCCCAGGAACAGCACCATCGGCTTGGAAGTAATCTCTCCATCTGCGAGCAGAAACAAAAAGCAACAAGGCCATGGCACAATGGAAGCATCTGTGTCATGGATTTCCCTGAAACATCTTCAGTCAGTCCCTGAATGTCCCCCAGGATCACAGAGGTGCCTCTGAGCTGGTCTGGCCAGCTGATGCCTTCTTCCCTCAAAGAGTCAACACAAACCAGGAGGAAGGCTTCACGATTCAAAAGTTGGAGATGGGAACAAGAAATGCGTCCTGTCGGAGAAGAATCAAGAAGGGGCTTGCACATAGGGGGATACTGTCGTCAAAGAGTGTTACTAAAAGGTTGAGCAGCAGCATTCTGGGATCTTCAGTCAGTCTCCTTGCACACCGTGAAAGGGTGAATGTGTAATGCCGCACTCTGTCACACACTCAAGGAAGGAAACTGTTATTTCTGAAGGCAGCAGTGATACTGTTGGAGCTGGAGTCCCAGCGGTGCCCAGGGGACCCAATGGGGAAACCCCAGTAAGCCCAACCCCTTTAGAAAATCATCTCAAGGGCTGTCTGGAGAAGCTCATGTGATGGGGAAGCCTCCTCCCAGGACCGTAATCCAAGGCAACCGGCTACCTGGGCAGAGGGTCATAGGCATGCAAGTGTCAGGTAGCCATACCCACCTGTGGCTGAGGAGCCCAAGGTGCGTCCAGGGTAAGCTGTTAGGCAGGAGAGGAGGAGGGGCCAGAGGGAGAGAAAAAGCATCGTGAGTAGGAAAGGGCATTTGGGGAAAAGGCGCTTGGTTAGGGGTCAGACAAGAAGGAAGTGGTATTCTGCCCTCTACAAATAAAGTGGCAGAACCAATGGATGCAGATTCCAATTCATCCCCAGAGACTGGGAATCACAAATGATCCATCCACCACCACAAAGGACTCATGCACCGGAGACAGGCATACTTTCCACAGGGATTACCATGCAAATCCCCTCCCAATTTTGTTGGGAAGACTAGAGCTAAAACCTTCTGGAAGATGATCCCACCCCAGAACAAACACTGGGAAAAGTGGAAATGCTGTCTGTGAACTCCATGGGTTTGACTGCTGATGGCTCAGTTGGGGGAGAAGTAACCAATGCTGTGGCCCAAAGAAAGGCTGGTAAGGTTGCCAGGCCCCTTTGAGAAGGAAAACGCCTCAAATATGGCCACAATATGTGCCTCCTGCCTCCCCTCCATAAGAAATTGCACCATTGCTATCCTGGCAGGTATAACAAAAGTAAACACGAACAACGTGGAAAACCTAGTCCAACCAGCACTGAGGAGACCCCCCCCCCCACACACACACACCCCTTTTCTCTTCCATTTACATCATGTGCCTTTGTCTCCAAAATGCTATCACCCATGTACAAAAGGAAGGCAAACCCCAAAGTTTACAGAAGAACCATTAGAAATATTTGGGGAAGAGAAACCTGTAAAGCAAGAGCAACAGCAAATGGGGCCATTGGGCCCAGCATTTCATTGCAGGACCAGTTGCAAGTTCCTCCCTCCGCTTTCTCCAAGGTTTGACCCCATCCCTGTTGCTCTGCACCTCTCTGCAAGACCGAATGGGAAGTTAGGCAATGGGGGGGGGGGGGTTGCTCGGTGCCCCTGCCTGTCTTACCAGTAATCTCATGCTGCCGCAGTTCATTGTACTTGTAAGACTGCTCCAGGGGCTTGATGGATGTGTGGTAGATCTTCCGGAGCCGCTGCAGGGTGGCTGCAATGGGGAAGCAGAGCAGGAGGGACTGGTCAAAAGCCGGATAGGACTCTCTCCCTTGCACGCAGGTCGGAACAAGAGAGATTCATTACCGATGCACTACACAGCCTAAAGCTCTGAAATTCTTTCAAGAGTTTAATTAAAATTCAGCGTGCCCTTCTTGGGAAAGAGAGGTCTGCCTAGAAAAGCAACCCACGCCCAGTCACTTCCAGTCTATGGGAAGGTGTTCCGAGGAACGCTATTCTCAGTGAGGTGGGACCCCTCTGCGGCCCCTGAGAAACCTCCATTCAACCCCCCCCCCTCTTTCCCTCCCTCCTTAGACCTACACTGGCTCCATCCCTGTTCTGAATTCAGCTCCTGAAGCTTCTTTCAAAGCTCAGCTCTTTCTCTATATAGCAACCCGTCTGTCAGTTCCAGCTTCTCATGCAAGGACATGAGAGAAGCCTCCCACAGGATGGTAAAACATCTGGGCATATCCTAAGTATTGTCCTTGCAGACAGTCAATTCTCTCACACCAGATGTGACTTGCAATTTCTGAAGTCGCTCCTGATACAAAAAAAACCCACCATAGCTCACAGATGAATCACAATGGCAATGGAAAGGCTCAAATGAAGCAATATGTACATTTTAAAAAGAAAGCACAAGAGAATGCCTGGAATGTCACTTTTGTGGGATTCGGCTAGGTAGAAGGATGTGAAGAGGGATACAAGGATGAAAGAAAGGATGGAGGAGGGAAAGAAGGAATAGAAGGAAGAAGGGAAGGCATCGAAATAAAGAAGGGAAGGGGAAATGAAAGAAGGGAAGCAAGGATGACAGAAGGGTTGGAAGAGGGAAAGAAGAAATAGGAAAGGAAAGGAGAAAGATGGGAGGGAAAGGGGAGGAAAAGATGGAAGGGGGAAAGAATGGTATGGAAACGGAAAGAAGAGGAAAACATAAAGAAAGAATGGAAGTGAGAAAGGGAAGGAAGAGAGAAAGAAGGTAAAAGAAGGGAATGGAAAAAGGGAAGAAAGGTGGAAAGAAAGGAGGGAAAGGAGAAATAAGGTGGAAAATATGGGATGGAGAGAAGGAGGGAAGAAAATGAGAAAGAACAGAGGGAAAGGGAAAGGGAGAGAAGAAGAGAGAAAAGGGGAGGAAAGGGGAAGAAGAAAAGAAAGGAAATAAATGAGATTTCTCTCTCGAGGAGATGAAGCCAATGGCTCCCCTTCCTTCTGCTGCCAGGCCAGCCATCCTCTCCCCCCCCCCCTCCCCTTCAGCAAAAGGTGAGCAAAAGATAATGGCAGAACTTTTTCTCAAAAGGGCATTTTGGCTCCTCCCAAAGCGGAGAATGGGGAATTCATCACTTGACAGAATTGGCCTTTTTGCCCATCTCTATTCAGATAATTCACAAAAATGCTCACTTGCCAACCAGCTTAGAAAGCGTCTAAAAAGACAACCCTTAAAAAACTTGAAAAACGCCAAGATCTCTCTACCCTACATTTGAAGCCTACGTCATGTGATGAACACAGTAGGTTCCCATTTGTTAAGTGGGTGGCTCAGTAGAATTTAATGCATGTGATGAAGTGGTGCACAGGGATGGGAAAGGGCCTGCCGTGTCTCTGCGTCTGAGGCCCTGGGAAGAGGCCAGTCTCGCTGAGGCTAGAGCTCCATCTAGAGCCAGAGGATCCCCAGATGCTTGCCAGGTCACACTGTGCAAGTGGCCATCCATCTGGTGTTCAGCAACTGCTCTTTGGGGCATGGTGCACTTTGGGTTCTTGCAGCTGATGGCAAATGGTGGTTTTGGAGAGGGACGTTAGGAGTTCTCAGTCAGGGAGTTGTAGCACCTGGCCAGTCTCCAAATCTCCGGACTCCACAGGGGCACAGCCTCAGTGGATTCATAGAGCTTGGTAGTGGTGCTGTCTTCATCCAAAATTCACCCCACAGCCAGGGATCCCTCCTACTGTTACCTGAGTAGTCGTCCGCAGGCTTCTCCTCCTTGAGCTTCAGGGTGCTCTCAATGTGAGAACGGTCCCGCTTAGCTGACTCTGCCACGGCCTCCTCCGCCTCCTCTGTAGAGAGAGAGTAAAAGACCACCATTCAGCACATCCAGAAGCCTGTATGGACCTCCATATCCATCTGCCTGTGGCCATTGCTGCAGGGAGCAGTGTGGGGCCCTGGCTCCCACACCATGTTGGTGGCATGGCTCACCCAACACTAACATGCCTTGCCCCACAAGGATTTCTGTGCTGCCCAGCGCAGCCATGTGCCTGCCAAGGGGCCATCCCAAAAGTAGGTGCACCCAATCCTGTGCCAGACGCCTAAAAACCAAATACACATTTTCATCAATACAGTTTTGATGTCTTCAAAGTAGGGCTCTCAAAGTGGGCCATGATGCCTGCTTTGGAGCAACAGTTTCCTACTCCAAATCCCCTTTCTCCCCTCTCCTCCGCTGCCCTGCCCCAAGAAATGTGGGGAAACCCTTTAGTGTCCTGAGTCTGGCAAAGAGCATTGGGTGCTGCCATCCATGGCCTGAGGAGAGGAGTCCAGACAATAGCCCTTGGAAGGGAGGGAGAGCGGGCAGCTGAGGCCCACAGAGAGGCCTTTCCCCGTGCCCCAAAATAACCACCAGCCACAGGGCTCCCGTTACAGCCTGGCATCCCCAGCTGCGCATTCATTGGCTAGAGGAGTGTGAGCAAAGGCCACTCCAGCCTCGCTTCCTCCACTTTCATGTGCGCGTGCACACACACACACACACACACACATCTCGTGGCAGGTGACCCTGTAATCACTGGCATGGAATCTGGGCTATGCCATCATTGGCATTATGGGCAACCCTCTCCCTCCCACCCCTGCAAGTCCTGCCAGATACTAGTGGCCTCTGGAGGACAGCAAGGGCTCATTTTTCAGGAACTCAATGGGAAAAGCTCAAACATTTCTTCCCTGTAGCAGGCAGAGAGAGAGAGAGACTTAAAGAGTCACAATAGTTTTAGGTCGTGTGGAGAGGGTTTGTATCACTAATTCACACCATGATCTTGGCTTTTGCGTTCTTTCCTACATTATTTGTTTACCAGACCCATTTAGCAGAAGCTACACTGCAATTGATCTTAGCACTTTTTATGATTCTTGAAGCCTCTGGCACCTTTTGGGGATTGAGGCTTGGCACACTTTTCCTCAGGAAAGGAAGTGACCAACTCCGGCCAGCAACACTCAAAGGGCTGCAGTGGGCAAAGGCTGTGCAGATTGTGCCTCTGAGAGAAACCTTGACCAGAACAGCATGAGACACATTGTCCTCGCTTCTCAGTGACACCACTACTCAAGGGATGCAATGCCTCTAAATCTCATCTACCTCCATTCTTGGCTAGGGTGGGGGGGGGGGTGGCTTTGGGCAGAAGCTTCCCTCCCTCCCCACCCCTTTGGATGGGTCCCACAAGGTTTATGACAAGGGAGACATGTGGTGGTGGGGGGTGGAACAAGAGGTTTTTGTGTGTCAGGGTACAAAGAAGAGCCAGGACCTCTTGGTGCCGGGGGGTCACTGTGGTCTGTAGGGCCACCGTCCGCAGCTGGAGAAGTCTGGGCATGATGTCCAGAGGGCACCTCCTCATCTGTAGCCCCATTGCTGGAAGACCCAGATGCTCCTGCTGCCCCACTAGGCGTCCCCTCTTGGTCCCGGGAGACAGAGGGTGGTGGGGCAGATCTGTTGGTGGCCTCCTCCACCTCTTGTTCTCCTGCGCCTTCCGTTAGAACTGACTGCTCTTCTTTCTCATTAGCATCCTCCTCAGGGGACCTTTCCTCTTCAGCTTCAGGGGCAACGTCACCCTCCTCCTCCTCCTCTTCCTCCTCGTCTTCTCCTTCCTCTGCCTGGGAAGTGTCTGCTTCCTCTGCAGAGACATCCTCGGCTGCGCCTGCCACCCCTTCCTCTCCACCCTCTTCGTCTTCATCTTCTTCCTCAGATGACACCTCATCTTCTTCTTTAGAGCCCTCTTCTTCTTTAGAGCCCTCTTCATCCTCAGGGTTGGCGTCTGGCACATTTTCCCCCTTGGCTTCGTCCTCCTCCTCCTCCTCCTCCTCCTCCTCCTCATCATCATCATCATCATCATCATCTGGAGAGCCAGGGTCCCCCTCCTTGCCCTCACTGTCTTCCTTGTGTCCCTTCTGGCCCTCTGTCTCCTGGGAGCCCTCTTCTGTGGGCCTGGGGTCACTCAGAGGCTTCCTCTCCTCTGCAGCTCCCGAGAGGTCATCCTCTGAAGCCTGGGACACCTCTCTGCTTTGGTCTGGCACAGCCCCTTGTCCGTCAGTTGCTGACGGTCCCTGCTTCTCCTGGGCCTCCCCTTCATCTGAGGCCACCTCTTCTGGGGGCAGGCCGTGAGCCTCCTCCTCTTCCCCATGCCCAGCTCTTGCAGGGGTGCCTTCGCCTTCCAAGCCGCTGGCAGGGGCCTCCGTGTCACCCTGGGCCTGGGGGGATCTTTTGCCCTCCTCCTCTTCTGGGCTTTCTGGGTAGAGAGGGGCTCCTGCTCCGGGGGGCATGGGGGCAGCGGCAGCCATTCCACCCCCACCGCCGGCAGCATCTCCAGAGTCTAGCAGTTCTGCCTCCTCCCGTGCCAGGCTTGGGTCTCCAGGTAACCAGGCGCTCGCCTCGGGAAAGTGGGCCGCCGCATCTTCTGTGCCGGCATCCAGGGCAGAGACTTGCCGTTCTAAATGGTCAGAACACGATCAGTCAGTTTGGCTGCTCCTCAAAACACAGCCTCTCTGTGCCTGTGGGGAAGCAGAGCCAGGCTCTTCTGCTATGGAGGCGACGTTGAGGCTCGAGACCCCGCCTGAGCCCCGGGCAAAAGACCCCAACCATGGAGCCAGGCCTTTCTCTCCTGCCACTGTCAATGCTCCTGGGCCCAAGTGGGCTGGGTGCAGGGGGTCTCTCTTGGGAGCAAAGGCCTCCTTCCTGGCCCTGGACTCTCTTGGCAGCAAGAGCATAAAGGAAGGGGCAATCAGGGCAGGAGAGTGGGGAGCGGGAAAGAGTAGCACCTCATGCAGGGACATCCCCTCCCTAGTCCATTAACCTCCATCCCTGTCAGTGGCTGAACTTGGCCTCTAAACAACTCCTCCTGGCCATTGATCTGGTTCCCCAGGACTGGCTAAAAGGAAAGCAATGGGACCAAATGATGCCAAATAACAGTGTCTTATTGAGTGCAGAAGCAAACAAAGGAAACCTTTGTGTACATTAGACCCCTTCTTTCCTCCCATATCGATGAGAATCCTGCCACAGAGGGACATCCATTGCCATTTTCACATCTCTCTCCTGCCTCAAACTGCCAAGCACATGCCAAAAAAAATTAAAAAATCTGTCTCCAATGCAAAGGAAACCTTTTGGTTTCACTAGACAGCAATCTTTGTGTTCTAAGTTGATCAGGTCTCCCCAACCCGTCTGCCCCTTCTCCTTGCAGCTCCTTTAAAAGGGGTCCTGGGTGAACTGACCCCTGCCTGAAAATGGAGGGCACTCTGGCAGAGGAATGTGGCCAATGGTAGCCCTTTTTCCTTGCCATTGGTTACCTTTCCTGGAAAACAGGAGCTCCGTCCAAAGAAGGGGAGCTTTCAACCAGATCCAGCAATGGTTTTGGTGGGGGGTCTGTGCTCCCCCCCTCATCAAATTGGCCCTGATCCTCAGCCACATTCCAGAGCGGCTAGTAACAGGGTTTGGTCAGCAGGCCAAGAGGGAAGGGGCCATTGCCCTCCCCCTTGAGGTCCCCCTCTGTCAACCACCCTTCCCCTCGCCTGCCAACAGACGACAGCCAAATGAGGCCTTGGAGACAAAGCTGCCCCACAAGAGACAGGGGAACAGCTGCAGCTCAGAGACATAATCCTGCCCCTCCACCCATGGTTGCCTAGACAAAGGCCAGACCCTCCCCCCAAATGCCAGTTGGTCATAGCATTCCCTTTACAAGCAGGGCTATCTGGACTGGAAGCATGGCTATCCAGGTGAAAGAGTCCTGGGACAGCGGAGGGAGGGGCACACATGGCCCACCTGGTCCTGGCCGCTGAATGAAGGAAGAGGGAGGCAGGATGACATTGGGCTAGAACGACAGGGACTAGGATTTCCGTCTCCATTCCGTCATAGAAGCCCATCCTGAGGAGATCCCACTCTGGGCTTCAGAGGAAGGGATGGACACCCCTTTCTCCACTCCACCAGCAATGGAAATCCTTTCCGGTGCTGTCCACCAAGGCCTCCTATCAGGCTCCCTTGGCCCCTCCTTGCTCTCAATCAAGGGCCCTTCCTCTAACTAAATCGGGCTCTGAATTGTGCTGACCTGCAGATGGCAAGCGGGTGAGCGCCGGGCAGCAAAATAGGCTGAAGGTTACGGGCTTAGCACCCGCTGCCTCCGCCTCCCCGTTGGGCTAAAAATACCTCCCGCAGCAACTGGGCCGGTGGAGGGGGGGGGGCACTGGGAGGCAAGGAAAATGCCCATTCCCAGGGCACCCACTGGCCTCACCCCACCAAAGCACCCACTATAAGGATGCTTATAGGGAGAGAAACAGACTTCCTTTCGGAGCAGGTTATTTCATTCTCTGGCCATCCCAACAGCATTCATTCACAAGTGGCACATGAAATGTGAAGACACAGGTGAACTCCCATGTGCAAAAAGACCAAAATGCCCCCTTGTGGTGCTCTCTGGAACTCCAAGGAGCGGGGGGAGCTTGTGGAATGGAATCACTCAGTTCTTGTGGGTTTTTTCGGGCCATATGGCCATGTTCTAGAGGCATTTCTCCTGACGTTTCGCCTGCATCTATGGCAAGCATCCTCAGAGGTGAGGTCTGTTGGAACTGGGAAAAAGGGTATATATATCTGTGGAATGACCAGGGTGAGACAAAGGACTTTTGTCAGTTGGGCTAGGTGTTAATATTTCAACTGACCACCTTGATTAGCATACAATGGGCTGACTGTGCCTGGAGCAAACTCTTCTTGAAAGGTAATTAGATGTCCCTGCCTGTTTCCTCTCTGCTGTTTTTGCTGTTGCAATTTTAGAATTTTTTAATACTGGTAGCCAGATCTTGTTCATTTTCATGGTTTCTTCCTTTCTGTTGAAATTGTCCACATGTTTGTGGATTTCAATGGCTTCTCTGTGTAGTCTGACATGGTGGTTGTGAGAGTGGTCCAGCATTTTTGTGTTCTCAAATAAAATGCTGTGTCCAGGTTGGTTCATCAGGTGCTCTGCTATGGCTGATTTCTCTGGCTGAATTAGTATGATTCTGTGATCTTGATTATTGTCTCCACGTTCATTACAATGCCTTCAGGTAAAACCTTCAACCTTTAATAAAGGCAAAGGTTTCCCCCTGACATTAAGTCTAGTTGTGACCAACTGTAGGGAGTGGTGCTCATCTCAATTTTTAAGCCGAAGAGGTCATGTGGTTGGCATGACTGCATGGAGCGCTGTTACCTTCTTGCCAATGCAGTACCTATTGATCTACTCACATTTGAATGTTTTCAAACTGCTAGGTTGGCATAAGCTGCGGCTGACAGCAGGAAGCTCACCCCACTCCTCGGATTCGAACTGCTGACATTTTGGTTAGCAAGTTCAGCAGCTCAACGGTTTAACCCACTGTGCCACCGGGGGCTCCTTTAATACGTGCCTTTATATGTTGGAACTTGACCTTCCAACCTGTCTTATTGAGATAACCTTTCTCATTTTCTCTGCCAAGGGCTGGGCCCCTGCCTCTAGCCACCCAGTGCATCTCAGGGGGCAAACCTTATAGAGGGGAGGCCAGGAAGGGAGGCCCTCGCAGAGCCTCCATGGCTGGACCGGCTGACAAGGAAAACTTTCTGGCTCCAGGCTGAAAATAGTCCAGCTCTGTGCTGCTGCTCTGGCTCGTCCCTCCCTTTGAGGAGGGGCTCCATAGCTGGGGGAGGCCCTGCTGGGTGCCCAAATACAGGGGTGGGTGTCCTTCCTGGGCATCTGAGGCTTCCCAAGAACTTCCCACCTAGACTTCCTCTGAGGAGCTGCGGCTGCAAGAGCGAGCGGCCTGCAACCAGGAGAGACGACGTTCAGAACCACAGTCCATGGGTTCCCCTTTCCCCCCAACTCCCGGGTCCCCTTTTTCAGGATCAAAGAAACTGCCTCCCCTAGAAGCTTTCTTGGCATTTTTTTGCAACTCTTAAAACAGAGGAGACTCCCAAAGCCAACCAGAGGAGAACAGATAAGAGCAAATGGGGGTACACAAAGCTCTTCTCAGCAGAGACCCAGATGCACCAGGCCACCCTCCACCTGAGCCCTTCCTCTACCTTTCCTGCATACTTTCCCCTCCAGAGCTGCTCTCTGGCCAGACCCAAGGGACCCCATTCCTCACCCCATTTCCATCCAAGGTGGGGCCCACCTTGGCAGCACTTGCCTTCACTTTCCCAAAGGGAAGAGCCACAATCTCCTGGAGTAGTGGTTCCCAACCTGTGCTTCATGGACCACCAGTGGTTCCCAAGAACAAAAATACGGTCCAGTCCGCATGTTCACCATTACTACATTGTTGCTTCGAAACCATGCGGCAACAAGAGCGACTGGTCTTGTGAAACCCTCTTATAGTGTCGAGGAAATGGTGGTGTCGGGAGGGGAGAGGCTGACTACCCACAAAAGATTACTACTACCACATCAGTTCTAGATTATTAAATATGACTTTCTGTGGGTGAGCAGATGGCGACTACTGGATCAGAAACTAGAGCTGATGTGGTTTATCCAATGCAATGTTCCGAATCAGCACCCCAAATAACCAAACCAAATCTAAACTTGACCAAAAACGGATGTATAATCCTTTTGATACTAATGCTGGAGAGTTGTCCCTGGTCAAAAAAAGATTGGGAACCACTGCCCTGGAGCACTGGGAAGAAATAATAGAGCCCTCCTGGGTGAGAGTCTGTGCTACCAAAATGCAATACCTCAGTGTGAGGCAAAAACCCCCCAAACTGTTTTGGGGGAGGGGGGCACACCAAGGGGCTTTGCTGGTGGGGATCAAGGGGAGGAAGGTGCCATGAAGGACACACAGAAAGAAACAATCCGCGGAAAGTGAGGTCTGTCAGTGTCTGCCTCCACTGCTGCCTTGGCGAGGCCCAGGCCTTCCTCGCCTGTGGACTCGGGAGGAGGGCCACCGAGAAGAGGAGGGAATTTTTGCCACTGTCCTTTACCTCTGGCCTTGGGCACTGGGCACCAGGCCAAAACCTGGAAGGGCTATGCCTTTTGAAAGTGGCTCCATCTTCTCATGAGCCTGGCTTGGGCCCTCTGCTTTGGGGAAAGCAGAGTGGTGTCTGAAGGGGCGCTTGATGTCTTGGGGCAAATGCAGTGTGCCAGGGGCATCAAGAGTGGCCCCAACGTTGGTCACTGGAAGGGCCACTGTGTTGACTCTTGCTACCCTGCTTTTGTTCTGGCCATGATAAAGGATGGCCTTAAAAGGAGGAAACCCGGAGGCCGCACGAGGGGAGGGGGCCAGGAGGTAGCAGCTGAGCTTGATGGCAAGTGCCTGGGCAGCGGGGAGGGAGGGGAGCTGGCTGGGGGTCCAGTTACAGGCCAGTTTCCATACTTAGTCACCAGAGGCAGCAGCTGGGAGCGGAGCAGTAGAGGGACCGAATTAACTCAAGGGCAGCCAAGGGGAGGGAGGGAGGCCAGGGACAGAGGCTCCTTTTTTCTCAAAGGAAGGCATTGAAGAGAGGGGATCCTGGCCAGGGGTCAGGGCGGAGGAAGCGGGCATGGGGCCCATCACTCACATGGCCTCAGGTGCCTCACCTGCACAGAGCTGTGTTCAAGGGATACCTGGACTCTGCCCCTTCCCTCTCAATGTCCCATGGCTGGCATCAATGACACTTTGGTGTGGGTGGGGGGCTACATCCCTTCCTCTGGCAGCCTTGGACCCTTTGACACCAGCTGTAACGGTGGCCAGGGACCCAGGGTGCATTGGGTGGTCCAGCTACAGCGAAGCCACCGAGGTAGAGAGTGGGCACCAAAGATCAGGGTCCTGGGGAGAAAGTGGTATCTGCGTTTGGGGTCCTACCTGCGGAAGCAAGGATGAGGAGGAAGAGTGGGGCCACACAGCAGCAGCAGAAGAGCCCAAGTCCCCTCATGGTGTCAGGCAGGCCTTGCTTCTGGGCTCCTAATGCTGTCCAGAGGGGAAGCGCAAGGCAAGCGGCAGGGACCTGCGGATGGACAGACGGAGGGAGAGAGAGACGGTGCTGTCCTGGTGCCGGACTGGATGAGGCCCCTCCTCCTGGTCCCTTCCTCTCTGCCCCCCTCCCTCCCTCCCTCTCCGCATTCAAGAGTGTCAGATGGCGGCCCAGGCAGGCTAAGTAGAGGCAGACCCACTGCAAGGCATGCAGCTGGAAGAAGAAGGGGCTGACAACTGCACTGCAAAGAGAAGAAGGGATGGGGAATTCCTAAAGGCCCGTCTGGCCCTGGGAGCTAAGTGAGACCAGCCCTGGTCAGCACCTTCATGGGAGACCCCTGACTCCAGCCCACCCTCATCCTCCTTGGCACACTTCTTCCATGCTCCTCTCCAAGAGGTGGCTGGCATCCATAGAGAGCAGGTCCACCAAGTGGACTGAGCCCAAAATGCCAACTAGATTATGACTATTATCACCTTCCAGTTGTCTTTCTGAAAAGGAGAATGCAAAGCAGCTTACAACACTAAAAACAATTTAAAACCTGGGTTGTTGTAGGTATTTTCGGGCTGTATGGCCATGGTCTAGAGGTCCTCTAGACCATGGCCATACAGCCCAAAAAAACCTACAACAACCCAGTGATTCCGGCCATGAAAGCCTTCGACAATACAATTTAAAACCTACAATGTATAAACCTTAAAGTAGAATTAAACATTCATTCAAGTTATCCCCCCATCCACAAGTGACCATAGCTGTGACCCAGACATTGTGCCACTCTCACCTGAATGCACCTTTGGGTCATTGAAATATAAAACTTAAGGGGGGGGGGCAACCGAGCTCAAAGAGGTGCAGGCAGAAGTCCCATGGAAATGGAGGAAGGGGTGGGCTTTGCAGTCACCTCAGTTTCCCCAAAAGTAGTGAAAAACGTGAAATGTCAAGATTGGTCCTTCTGCAGGAGGAGTGCCCCCTGGTGGTTGTCCTGGGAAACACAGGGACAGAAGGACTCCTGTTAACTAACTATCCCTTATTACAGTGGTTCTCAACCTTCCTAATGCCGTGACCCCTTAATACAGTCCCTGATGTTGTGGTGACCCCCAACCATAATATTGTTTTTGTTGCTACTTCATAACAGTCATTTTACTACTGTTATAAATCATAATGTAAATATCTGATATGCAGGATGCATTTTCATTCACTGGACCAAACTGGGCACAAATACCCAATACACCCAAATGTGAATGCTAGTGGGGTTGGGGGAGGATTGATTTTGTCATTTGGGAGTTGTAGTTGCTGGGATTTATAGTTCACTTATAATCATTCACCAGCAATAGATTTGAACCAAAGTTGGCTCCCATGACCCATGGAAAACACTGGAAGGTTTGATGGGCATTGACCTTGAGTTTGGGAGTTGTAGTTCACCTATATCCAGAGAGCATTGTGGACTCATGCCATGGTGGATCTGGACCAAACTTAGCATTAATACTCAATATCCCCAAATGTGAACACTGGTGGAGTCTGGGGAAAATAGATCTTTACATTTGGGAGTTGTAGTTGCTGGGATTTATAGTTCCATTACAATCAAAGAACATTCTGAACTCCACCAACAATAGAATTGGCTCAAACTTCCCACATGGAATCCCCATGACCATTAGAAAATACTGTTTTCTTATGGTCTTTGACGACCCTCTAATACCCCCTCGAGACCCCCTCAAGGGTCCCGACCCCCAGGTTGAGAAACACTGCCTTATTGGATTGTTTTTTATCGCAATGCTTAATTCTTTGTTATGAGCTCACTGTTATTGCTGTTGCTTTAATGTGTATTATTTTGATATGTTCTTACTCACCTGAAGCATTGAATGCTTGCTTTTTTTTATATATGTAAACCACTCAGTCCCTTCTGGGAGAGTGGACGGTCTACAAATAAGATATTTTATTATATTATCATTATTATTATTATTAGGACACCAATGTAGCTGCTTTCGAGAGCCTTCATTCTGGCCTAGAAGGCTTATCTTTTGGCAAGGAGCCCCTAGTGGCGCAATTGGTTAAACCCTTGTGCCGATAGGAAGATAGGAATGCTGATCAACGGATCAGCGGTTTGAATCCGGGGAGGGCGGGTTGAGCTCCCTCTATTGGCTCCAGCTTCCCATGCAGGGACACGAGAGAAGCCTCCAATAAGGATGGGAAAACATCAAACATCTGGGTGTCCCCTGGGCAGCGTACTTGCAGACGGCCAATTCTCTCACACTAGAAGCAACTTGCAGTTTCTCAAGTCACTCCTGACACAAAATACATAAAAAATTCAAAAAGAGGAGACTTTTGTAAGCACTGGAGTTCACTACATGTTGAATCCATCCCGAGACCCTCTGTGGTCCTCACCATTACCCCACTTTAGTCCCAGTTTACAGCTCCTGGGAGAGCAGATCCTCCTGCTGAAGAGCCCTTTATCCCCACCAAACTACAAATCCCAGGATCCCTTCCCTCCTTCCCACCAACAATGACATCCACAAGCCAGAACATCTAAAAAACAAAGTACAAACTTTATTTTGTTTCTTTACAAAAAAGCACATGCTTCATTTTTTCCACTTTTTTAACAAAATATAATAGCATCTCAATGAACATGAAGACCCAAAAAATTGTAAAAAAAAAAAACCCCAAAAGAGATAAAAAATAAAAAAAAATAAAGGAAGAGAGAGAATGGAGGAGGAAGAGCCGTGGCTTTGGAGGGTGGGGGTGGGGCTACCGAATGCCCACAGAGGGCCCTATAGTCAACACTGGCCTAGACCACTAGTCAAAAGGGGAGTGGGTGGGGTGGGGGAGCGACCAAAATGAAAAAGGGTGAAGAGTGAACATCACGAGAYGGGGGGAGCAATGGTCAGATCCATGGAACGGATTAAGTGCTTCATAAATCAGAAATTAAGAAATGCTAAAAAAAAGGAAACCACCAACCCATGGAGAAGAAACGAAAGAGAGGGCAGTACCCCCTCCCCTCGAAGTGGGGAAAAGGCCCCTGACCCTGCAGTGACCCCTGAGAATTGGGGGGGGGGATTAGGATTGGCAGGGCACAGCCAAGCCCCCATCTCAGAGTTCATGGTCCCCCCCATTGGCCCCTTAATGCCACCTCCAAGGGCCATCTTGACCCCTGAGGAGAGCGACAGAGAGCAGAGGGGGAAAGGCCATGTTTATGGGACACAAACCCATAGAGGAAGATCAGTGCTGAGTCCCGAGGGACCAAGGCCACCCACCGCCCTCCAGGGAGGGGCCCTGAGAAGCCGACCCTTTCTTCTCCCTCTGGCCTTTCTGTGAGCCGAATTGAGGGGAGCCTTCCTCCTGCAGGCCCCCTCCCTTTACAGTATTGAAAAGGTCATAAAAGAGACCTGAATTGCCACGGTGTTTTGTAAAAATGTGACGCCCCCCCCCTCCTCCCGCGTCCAGTGGGGTCAGGGCCTCCTCTCGGGGGCCTTGCTGTGCTCCATTGCCTCCTCTTCCTCTTCCTCCTCCTCGGTGTCTTCCTCCTCCGCTGCCACTTCCGAGTCAGAGGCCGTGTCTGAAAGGGAAGGGTCCAAGCCGGACCGGGCCACGATTACGGCCCTCCGCCGGCGCCGCTCTTCCTCTTCCTCCTCCTCCCCCAGAAGAGGCTTCTCCTGCGTCCCCTCGATGTGCTGGATGGCCTGTAAGAAGGGAAGGGGAGGGCAAGGTGGCATGAGACCCCTGCTCACCAATGGGGCAGTCACTACCATCTGAGGAGTGGACTGCCCCCTCAAAGGGTCCAAGGCCACAGCACCCAGACCAAGCACCCACATTTGAGGTTCTGTGGGACTCCCTTGCTTTTCTACTGAGTAGCCAATGTGGACTGTTGCCTCAATATAGGGGACAGTTTGTGAAATAATAATAGTAATAATAATAATAATAATAATAATAATAATTTATTTCTCATTCACCTCTTCTCATGGCTTGAGATGAGTCACAGCAGTCAAAACACATAAGAACTATACCCTTACTAAAACAGTGCCACTGGCCTCCGACAAGCTTCCAAGCCAATTCAAGGTACAGGTTATTATCTACAAAGCCCTATACTCTTCGGGTCCAACCTATTTTCGAGACCGCATATCTTTCTATGAACTGGCGCGGGCTTTGATAACGGCAGGGGAGGCCCTTCTCTCGGTCCCACCTCCATCTCAAGCACAGTTGGTGGGAACGAGAGAGAGGGCCTTCTCTGTAGTGGCACCCCGGCTCTGGAATACCCTCCCAAAAGAGTTTAGGTTAGCCCCCATCCTTGAAACTTTACGATCCAGCTTACAAACATCAACTTTTAAGCAGGCTTTTGGGCTCAAGCTGAAATGGGTTTACGTGAGGTTAACACTCTGGCACTTTAGTTGTGAATTGATGGCAGCTAGTTTTAACTACAGATGGTCTGCGTTTTTAAAATTGTGTTATTGTATTTTTATATGTGTTGATAGTGGCTTTTAAATTTTTTTATGTGATATTGTTTTAGACTCGTGTACCGTTTATGTTACGCTGCACCTTGGAGTGTCTTGTAAGCCGCCCCGAGTCCCTTTTGGGAGATAGTGGTGGGCTATAAATTTAGTTTATTTATATTATTTATAAGCATAGCAAAAATTCTATGAACACATATTAAAATGTAGTTCTATAAAAGATACATATTAAAACATATTTCTATATAACGCATAATAAATACACAGGACAGAGATTAAAACACAGGACATGAGTTTAAACTGGCTGGATAGGACAAGAGGTTTGGGGGAAGTAATTACTTGACCCCCCCCCCCCCCGCCCTCAATATATCACAATGGGAATTCTTGCCTTGGAGCAGTCCGGATGCTGTCTTGACACCCCCTGTCCAAAAGGGGGGGTCGGTGAGCCTTCCTGACAGAGCCAGGGCCCAGAGAGGTTAATTGTCCCCAGGAGGGCTCACTGGCACCTGACCAAAGTTTTTCTTCGCAGTACCCTTCCCTCTGTGCCCTCTGGGGCCATTGTGCACCCTGTCCCCTTGGGCTCACCTGCACGATGGTGTCTAGGTTCTGCCGGGAGGTGGAAACCGCGTTGATGACGGAGGAGGGTCCCATGGTGACCACTGTCACATGGTGCGATGGTGGGGGCACAATCACAGAGGGATGGTGGGTGGGTGCCGGGGGGCTCTGTCCCGGAAAGAGCTGTTGGGGAGCAGATAGGGTCAAAATGAAGTCAGGAATCTCTTTACGAGTAGTGCTGGAGGGGCCCTCCTGCATGGGAGTCCCCTCCTTCCCTACCCTCTTGGCCTGTGCCATCTGCAAAGGTGCCGCCCTTTAGGGGCTCACCTGTCCGTGGCTCTGATGATGCCGCTCAAACTTCTCCTGGTGCAGCAGCCTCACCTGCTCCTGCTGCTGCTGCAGCTGCACCTGTTGGGCGATCACCTTAAGCTTCTCTGGGTACATGTGGGCCTCCAGGGAACGCACCTGGCAAGGCAGGGGGAGCATAGGGGTCAGCAGGCGCCATGGGGAAGGAGTTAAATACTTGTATCATGCTCCTCCACTGCAGGAGGGCTCACAAAGGGAAATCAAGTGCACCCTCTGTACTGGAAGTTTGTTTTAGGAGTCCCCTTATCCCCAACTCCCCCCTGCCCCCCGAGGCACCTTCCGGCACTCACCTGCTCCTCCAGCATCATGCGGACGGAACGCTCCTTGTCCAGCTGCTGCCGGAGCTCTATCATCTCCCGGCGCAGGTCCTCGGCCTTCTCATCCTCCCAGATGTCCGGGGAGCCGATGCCCTCGTCCTTGTCCTCCGCTCGTCGCCGCTTCGGTGAGGAGCCACTGAATTCCTGCCGACAAGGAGACAAGGAAAGTGGGAGTCAGAGAAGGGTGAGGTCAAAGAGGAACTGGCAACTGGGCTGCCCATGCTTGTGCCTCACCTGGATGAACCTCTTGAGCTGTGCATTCTGCTGCAGCAGCCGTGTCTTCTCCTGCTCCAGAGAGAAGATGTACTCGGCGGTTTGCTGGAGGATGGCTGCCTGCGGAGAGAGCGAGAAGGGGCACAGAGGAGTCAAGAAGAGCAATAATGAACTCAAGGGGAAGGAGGCAGGCTGAAAGGCCAAGCAATCTCATTACGGATCCCATCCACAGATTCAGCAGAAGTAGAGGAAGAAGGCAATCCTCACCTGATCCCTGGGTACAAGGAGGCAAAGCCTATTGTCCCTTTGGTCCCCTGGGCAAGAAAGGGACACGCTGAGAGCACTGAGCTCCGGGAATGGATCAATGCCTCAAGGTAGCAGCAATAGGCTCCAGCCTGGCCTCTCGGCAGAACTCCAAATGACCAATGGGCTGTTGTAATTTGGACACACAAATAGCCATGATGAACTCAAGGGGAAGGAGGCAGGCTAAAAGGGCAAGCAATCTCATTACGGATCCCATCCACAGATTCAGCAGAAGTCCACACTTCTAGGCAGAGAGTTCCACACTGTCCAGGGCTCAAGAGTTAGAACAGACGCAACCTCACAATCCATGCCATACAAAAGTTGTAGACATTCAGTGGAATGAAAAGCACAGCCCTTAAAAGCGGGAGCCCTTTCAAATGACAATGGCTGTGATGGGCTCGTGAGTCAGGCTGGACTTCTACTGATGACAATGAAGGTCATGGTGGCAGCTAAAATAAATCAATGAGATTTTGGACTGCATAAGTAGGAGTATCATGGCTGGATCCAGGGAAGTCATCCTACCCCTCTATTCTGCCTTGCTCAGACCACACCTGGAATTCACACTGTGTCCAATTCTGGGCACCACAATTGAAAGGAGATGTTGACAAGCTGAAATGTGTCCAGAGGGCAACTAAAAGGATCAAGCATCTGGGGAGCAAGTCCTATGAAGAGCAGCTTAAAGAGCTGGGCATCTTTAGCCTGCAGAAGAGAAGGCTGAGAGGAGACATGATGAGGGCCATGGATCAATATGTGAGGGGAAGTGACAGGGAGGAGGGAGCAAGCTTGTTTTCTGCTGCCCTGGAGACTAGGATGCAATGGAACAATGGCTTCAAACTACAGGAAAGAAAGGAGATTCCACCTGAAAATTGGAAAGAACTTCCTAACTGTGAGAGCTCTTCAGCAATGGAACTCTTTGCCCCAGAGTGTGGTGGAGGCTCCTTCTTTGGAGGCTTTTAAACAGAGGCTGGATGGCCATCTGTCAGGGGTGCTTTGAATGCAATTTTCCTTCTTGGCAGAATGGGGTTAGACTGGATGGCCCACCAGGTCTTTTCCAACTCTAGGATTCTATGAAGGCGCTAACCCTCCTATACAAAACTGGCTGAGTTTTAACACAGAGGCAGAGAAACACTTTCTCTTTCAGTCAAAGTCCAGCATTTTGTGCCCTGAAAACCTTTTGGAAAATGTTTGCCACAAAGACCAAACGTGCCGCAATTTTTTGTGGTGCAGGAGAAAAAGTCTGCACAATTTTCTCTTTTGATTCTCAACACAAAAGACTTCTCATTTCTGTTGGCCACAATTCCAGCAGCAGAGAAACCTTTCAAAGGTGTAAACGTTTCCGCCTTTCCTCCATTGATAATATACTTTTATCTCCTCCCCAAAACCTGGGGTTTTGCACGAGACACTTTCAATTGCATAGTCGTAAAATCTAAACAACTGAATACGCATTCCCCGAATAAAACGCAAAGATGTTTATTTGTTGTCGGTTTTGATCTGATACACCTGCTTGCCTTTGCAAACTCAGGAAAGCCTGCACCTGCCGACTGTACAAAGTCCACCTTAAGCCCGGAAAGGAAACCCTGGATTATTGGATTCCCCATAAAAGAGAACAAAACAATCCCGCCACTCTTTTCGCTTCTGCGGAAGGGCAAGACGCGGTCTGAAGGACCCTCTACTGCGGGCAAAGTTCACATCTGGCATGAGGGACACTGGTTTCATTTTTGCACGAAGGGATGGGAAGAGAGCCCTTGCCCACTATGGAATAAACTGGTACTCAAGGCCCTTCACCAGTTACAACCAACTTCAACATTACGACAGAATCAGCTAAACTAAATGTGTGCAACAGTCGCCAAATAATTGCAAACTTGAAGAAGGGGCCTGGGCTTCCTGCTTGGGGCCTCAATGCCAATGCCCCCAATGCCTGCTAACCTTGCTGAGCTTCTCTCCGTCTGTGTGTGGGATGAGGGTCTTCAAGGACTGGAAGCCCGCGTTGATGCTTTGCATGCGTCGGCGCTCATTGCTGTTGGCGATCTCTCTCCGGATGCGCCGCTCCTGGTCCCGCTGCGTCTCAGGGGTCAGGGGCAGGTTGGCCAGGCTGTGGGGGACAGAGGGGAGGTCATGGGGCATGGCCCAGCTGGGAACCCAACAGGCCTGCTCCTGGCAACCTAGAGATGCCAAAGCGGAGAGAGAGAGGGAAGCAGAACTCTTCCATGCAATTCTGATATTCATTTTCCCAGTGACCTCCCCCACCCAAAAAAACCCACCTCTTTGTGCTGCAATGTGGAATGTAAAGGGCAAACAATCAACCTCTAGAGCAGGCATGGGCTGGACAGGATGACCTTTGGGAGCCCCTTCCAACTCTAGGAGTCTAGAACAGGCATGGGCAAACTTTGGCCCTCCCTCCAGGTGTTTTGGAGTTCATCTCTTACAATTCCTAACGCTGAAGTGGCTGAGGGGGAAAAGGAAAGAGCCTGTGGGTGTTAGGAATTGTGGGAGTTGAAGTCCAAAACACCGGGAGGGAGGGCCAAGGTTTGCACATGCCTGGCCTAGACCTATCGCTTTAACATCGGAACCTTGGCAGCCCCAGCCTCTCATCCCGGGCCAGGAAAAGGGAAGCCAAGGCTGCCAGCCCCCTGTTTTAGCCCCCAAAGCCCCTCTGGGCCTCACATGAAAAAGAGCAGTTTCTCCCAACCTTTGGTCCTTCAGGTGTTTTGTTTATTTATGTATTTACTGTACTTATACCTCATGCTTCTAACCCCCGAAGAGGGACTCAGGGGGGCTTACAAACTATGGCAATAATTCAATGCCAGATTCAGACAATAACAGCAAACACATTTTAAAACTCTATAAACATATACATGTCCATTACCAATACTCTGTCAGATGATGAAAAACATATCAAAGGACTAACACCAACTTAACTTTATAAACATTAAAACAATTGCTTTTGCATTTCTTATACAGGTTCTGTCATATTTATGGGTCATATTAATCCCCAAAAGCTTACTTAAATAGCCAAGTCTTGAGATTTTTCTTGACCTTAAGAGTGAGGGGGCTGTTCTGATGTCACTGGGGAGAAAGTTCCACAGCCGTAGGGACACTACCGAGAGGGCCCTGTCTCTTGTCCCCGCCAATTGCACCTGCGATGGGGGTGGGACCAAGAGCAGAGCCTCCCCCAGATCTTAACAATCGCACCAGATCATAAAGGGAGATACGTTTGAACAAGTAAGCTGGGCCAGTACCATTTAGGGATTTATAGGCTAAAGCCAGCACTCTCAATTGTGCTTGGAAGCAAATTGGCAGCTAGTGGAGCTGACGAAACATGGAGAGTTGTGTGCTCCCTGTACACTGCTCCGGTGAGGAGCACCTGTTGGACTACTTGAGGCTTCCAGTCTTCAGAGGCAGCCCCACGTAGAATGTGTTGCAGTAGTCTATACAAGATGTAGCTAGCGCATGGACCACCGTGGCAAAGCCTGGCCTCTCAAGGTACGTTCGCAACGGGTGCACAAGTTTTAATTTTGCGAAGGCTTCCCTAGCTACCGCCGAGACCTGGGGTTCCAGACTCAGCTATGAGTCCAGGATCACTCCCAAGCTGTGAACCTGTGCCTTCAGGTGGAGTACAACTCCATCCAGAACTGGCTGTAACCCTATGCTCTCTTCAACCTTGCGACTGAGCAGGAGTGCCTCTGTCTTGTCTGGATTCAGTTTCAACTTGTTTGCCCTCATCCAGACCATCACAGCTGGCAAGCACCAATTCAGGACCTGAACAGCCTCCTTAGTAGCAGGTGGAAAGAGTGATAGAGCTGGATGTCATCTGCGTACAATTGCACCGAACTCCAAAACTCCAGATGATCTCTCCCAACGGCTTCATGTAGATGTTACAACAACATGGGGGACAACACTGATCCCTGCGGGACTTCAAAACAGCTGGAGGGCCAGAGTTTGAGGATTCCCAGTCTACAGTATCGAAGGCACTGAAAAGTCCAGGAGAACCAACAGGGACACAACCCCCCTGTCCACTTCCCAGCATAGATCATCCACTAAGGAGACCATGGCTGTCTCAGTTCCATGGCCAGGCCTAAAACCAGACTGCAATGGATCAAGATAATGGATGGTCCTTCTAATCTAGGATTCTATCATTCTAGAACAAGCATGTGCAAACTTGGGCCTTCCTTCCAGATGTTTTGGACTTCAACTCCCACCATTCTTAACAACTCCAGGCCTCTTCTTTTTCTCCCTCAGCCACTTAAGCTGAGGGGGTAGGAGGACCCAAGTTGGCCCATGCATGAGCTATCTCGACCTACTAATTTGGGGGAAAAGGAAAAGACCTGAGGCTGTTAGGAATAGAGGGAGTTGCGGTCCAAAACACCTGAGGAGAGGGCCCAAGTTGGCCCAGGCATGAGCTATCTCAACATACTAATTTGGGGGGAAAGAAAGCGCCTGAGGCTGTTAGGAATAGTGGGAGTTGCAGTCCAAAACACCAAGAGAGAGGGCCCAAGTTGGCCCATGCATGAGCTACCTCGACCTGAGGCTGTTAGGAATGGTGGGAGTTGCAGTCCAAACCACCTGGAGAGAGGGCGCCAGTTGGCCCAGGCATGAGCTATCTCAAACTACTAATTTGGGAGGAAACGAAAGGACCTGAGGCTGTTAGGAATGGTGGGAGTTGCAGTCCAAAACACCTGAAGAGAGGGCCCAAGCTGGCCCATGCATGAGCTACCTCGACCTGTGGCTGTTAGGAATGGTGGGAGTTGCAGTCCAAAACACCTGGAGAGAGGGCCCAAGCTGGCCCATGCATGAACTATCTCGACCTACTAATTTGGGGGGAAAGAAAGGGGCCAAGGCTGTTAGGAATGGTGGGAGTTGCAGTCCAAAACACCTGGAGAGAGGGCCCAAGTTGGCCCATGCATGAGCTACCTCGACCTGAGGCTGTTAGGAATGGTGGGAGTTGCAGTCCAAAACACCTGGAGAGAGGGCCCAAGTTGGCCCATGCATGAGCTACCTCGACCTGAGGCTGTTAGGAATGGTGGGAGTTGCAGTCCAAAACACCTGGAGAGGGCCCAAGCTGGCCCATGCATGAACTATCTTGACCTACTAATTTGGGGCGAAAGGAAAGGGCCTGAGGCTGTTAGGAATGGTGGGAGTTGCAGTCCAAAACACCTGGAGAGAGGGCCCAAGTTGGCCCATGCATGAGCTACCTCGACCTGAGGCTGTTAGGAATGGTGGGAGTTGCAGTCCAAAACACCTGGAGAGAGGGCCCAAGCTGGCCCATGCATGAACTATCTCGACCTACTAATTTGGGGGGAAAGAAAGGGGCCGAGGCTGTTAGGAATGGTGGGAGTTGCAGTCCAAAACACTTAAAGAGAGGGCCCAAGCATGAGCTATCTTGACCTACTAATTTTGGGGGAAAGGAAAGGACCTAAGGCTGTTAGGAATGGTGGGAGTTGCAGTCCAAAACACCTGGAGGGAGGGCCCAAGTTGGCCCATGCAGGAGCTATCTCAACCTACTAATTTGGGAGGAAAGAAAGGGGCCGAGGCTGTTAGGAATGGTGGGAGTTGCAGTCCAAAACACCTGGAGGGACGGCCCAAGCTGGCCCATGGAAACCCCCCAGGAAGGCCTGTCTCCCAGCGCCACGTGCGGCTCCTCCTCCTCCTCTTCGGCGGCTGACAAAGGCGGGCGAGGGCGCAACTACAAGTCCCGGCTTCCCTTGCGGCCCAAGCCCCGCCCCCTCCCTCCCTCGGAGGAGGCTGCAGAGTCACCGCCAGGCCCCGAGGAAGGCGAGGAGTCAACACGCGGGAGGCGGCAGAAAGAAAGAGAGAGAGGGAGGGAAAGGGAAAGCGAGAGGCAAGCGCGTGGCCGCCTTGTGCTCCTGGCCGCCCGCCCCTCTCCTTCCCTCCCTCCCTCCTTGAGAAGCGCAGCAACCGCGTGGCCCTGCCTCTGGTGTCCCCTTCCCCTCCTCCGCCGACAGGGGGCCTCCCTCCCTCCCTCTCCCCCCCCCCTCCTCCCTTTGGAGACAGACTCACCTGCAGAGCCCCCCGATGACCTCCTTCTCGGACTTCCGGAAGGGCTGGTGCTGTTGCTGCTGCAGCGCCGGAGGAGGAGGAGGCACCTTGGGCGCGGGGACCACGAAGTACTCCATCGGAAGGGGGAAGGGAGGGAGGGAAGGAGGGAGGGAGGGGGTGCCTTCCTCTTCGGCCTCCCCCTCCTCTGCGTGTTTCTGTGGAGGGGGGAGGAGGAGGAGAAGGGGGGAAAGAAAGAAGCGTGCGCGCGCGCTTGTGTGTGTGTAAAGCGTGCCTCTGTGTGTGTGTGTGTGTGTGTGTATGCCGTGTGCGCGCGCGCCTCCCTCCTCCTCCGGCTGCTGCTGCTCAAGGCGGGAAACAGCTGGTGAGGGGCGGGGCCTCGGCGCAGGCAGGGAGGCGGTCCTTACGAGGCCCCGCCCCTCTTTCCTTTCGCCCGCCATGTAAACAAAGGAGCCCGCTTCCGAAGTGACTTGTTTCCCATATTCGCGAGATTCCATGGCCACATATTTAATTGTGCTGCTTGCAATTTTGTGGGAGGCTTTGAGTCTTCAACCTGCGAGAGAGAGAAAAAGGATTATTATTATTTTTAAATGTATTTATTATGGTATTGTCAAAAGCAGTGGAACTCTCTGCCCCAGAGTGTGGTGGAGGCGCCTTCTTTGGTGGGGACGAGGGACAGGGCCTTCTCTGTGGTGGCCCCCCGACTCTGGAACTCTCTCCCCAAGGACATCAGACAAGCCCCAACGCTGGCTGTCTTTAGGAAGAGCCTGAAGACCTGGCTGTTCCAGTGTGCCTTTCCAGAATAGGAAACTCCTGGCATCAAGTCCCAAAGCAGTCAGCCATAGCAGAGCACCTGATGAACCAGCCTGGACACAGCATATTATTTGAGAACACAGAAATGCTGGACCACTCCAACAACCACCATGTCAGACTACACAGAGAAGCCATTGAAATCCACAAGCATGTGGAAAATTTCAACAGAAAGGAGGAGACCATGAAAATGAACAAAATCTGGCTACCAGTATTAAAAACTCTAAAATTACAACAGCAAAACAGCAGAGAGGAAACAACCAGGCACATCTTAACACCTCTCAACAGAACATTTTCCCAGGCTCAGCCAGGCCTTCAAATGCTAATGAAGGTGGTCAGCTGAAATATTCACACCTAGCTTCAGCAGAGAGCTCTTTGCCCCACCCCAGTCATTCCACAGATATATAAACCCATTTTCCTATTTCCAACAGACCTCACTACCTCTGAGGATGCTTGCCATAGATGCAGGCGAAACGTCAGGAGAAAGTGCCTCTAGAACATGGCCCTATAGCCCGAAAAAACCTACAAGAACCTAAGAATTATATTTGATTCAGGATTATTTGAATCTCTAGGGCGCCGCGAGTCGCCCTAGGGCTGAGAGTGGCGGTCAACAAATGAATTAAATAAATAAATAAATTTGCACATTGTACCTACCTCCAATTACCTCTACATATCACTTGTCAAGTCTTGTTGTTGGTTCATTCATTCAGTCGTCTCCGACTCTTCGTGACCTCATGGACCAGCCCACGCCAGAGCTCCCTGTCGGCCGTCACCACCCCCAGCTCCTTCAAGGTCACTCCAGTCACTTCAAGGATGCCATCCATCCATCTTGCCCTTGGTCGGCCCCTCTTCCTTTTGCCTTCCACTTTCCCCAGCATAATTGTCTTCTCTAGGCTTTGCTGTCTCCTCATGATGTGGCCCAAGTACTTCAACTTTGTCTCTAGTATCCTTCCCTCCAATGAGCAGTCGGGCTTTATTTCCTGGAGGATGGACTGGTTGGATCTTCTCGCAGTCCAAGGCACTCTCAGAACTTTCCTCCAACACCACAGCTCAAAAGCATATATCTTCCTTCGCTCAGCCTTCCCTAAGGTCCAGCTCTCACATCCGTAAGTTACTACAGGGAACACCATGGCTTTGACTATGTGATCTTTGTTGCCAGAGAGTGATGTCTCTACTCTTTACTATTTTATCGAGATTGGACATTGCTCTCCTCCCAAGAAGTAAGCGTCTTCTGATTTCCTGGCCACAGTCTGCGTCTGCAGTAATCTTTGCACCTAGAAATACAAAGTCTGTCACGGCCTCCACATTTTCTCCCTCTATTTCCCAGTTGTCAATCATTCTTGTTGCCATAATCTTGGTTTTTTTGATGTTTAGCTGCAACCCAGCTTTTGCGCTTTCTTCTTTCACCTTGATTAGAAGGTCAAGTCCAGCACTTTTAAATTTTGTCTATTACACTTGGCCTGGCCCTTGGTTTTAAATGCGTCACTGTGTCATTGTTTTTATTGTTCCTAAATCTTTGCTTGATGTTTTTATTTGCTTATGACTTTATTGTGTATGTGTATGTTATTGTTTGTTGGCGGCCTTGGCCTTTGTAAGCCACATCGAGTCCTTCGGGAGATTTTGCGGGGTATAAATAAAGTTAATAATAATAACAGTATTTCTGCTTCTTGGCAGGGGGTTGGACTGGATGGCCCATGAGGTCTCTTCCAACTCTAGGATTCTATTATTCCAAGGCTTTCATGGCCGGGATCACTGGGTTGTTGTAGGTTTGTCGGGGTATATGGCCATGTTCTAGGAGCATTCTCTCCTGACATTTCGCCTTTATCTATGGTAGGCATCCTCAGACCTCACAACCTCTGAGCATGCCTGCCATAGATGCAGGCGAAACATCAGGAGAGAATGCTTCTAGAACATATAGCCCAAAAAACCTACAACAAAAAATATATGTTTTCTTTTCTTCTATAATACTAATAATAATATAGGTTCTCGTGGGTTTTTTCGGGCTATAGAGCCATGTTCTAGAGGCATTTCTCCTGACGTTTTGCCTGCATCTATGGCAAGCATTCTCAGAGGTTGTGAGGTCCTCACTACCTCTGAGGATGCTTGCCATAGATGCAGGCGAAATGTCAGGAGAGAATGCCTCTAGAACATGGCCATATAGCCCGAAAAAACCCACAAGAACCTAGTGATTCCAGCCATGAAAGCCTTCGACAATACAATAATAATAATAATGTATTTTACATTTATTTTATTTATTGGTTGGTTTGTATGTTTATACGTAGCGTTTGTATGAATTTTTTGCAATAAAAATCAATCATAAAAGAAGACTGCAGTTTTAACTGCACCACACTGCATTATGGCAGTTTTTTGGTTTTTTCATGTCAGGAGCAATTTGAGAAACTGCAAGTCTCTTCTTATGTGAGAAAATCGGCTGTCTGCAAGGACGTTACCCAGGGGGCGCCTGGGTGTTTTACTATTCTTGTAGAAGGCTTCCCTTATGTCCCTGCATGGAGAGCTTGAGCTGACAGAGGGAGCTCATCTACACCCTCCCAGATTCAGATCCTGCGATCTGCCAGTTTTCAGTCCTGCCAGCAAAAGGGTTTAACCCATTGTGTCACCGAGGGATTCTCTCATGCCCCTGCCTCATGTAGTAAGGAGAGGCGGGTAATACTTGTAGTCTTAATGATGTGAGCTTTTACCAATTAAAACTTGTGTGCCAGTTGCACCCGTACCTTGGGAAGTCAGACTTGACCGTGGTGGTCCATGCTCTCGTTACATCCTGAAGAGATTACTGCAATGCACTCTACATGGGTTTGCCTTTGAAGGCTGTTCGGATGCTCCAACTAGTCAAACAGGCAGCAGCCAGGTTGCTCACCAGAGCGGCATACAGAAAGCATACAACCTGTCTGCTACACCAGCTCCACTGGTTGCCAATCTGCTACTGAGCACAATTCAAAGTGCTGGCTTTAGCCTATAAAGCCCTGAAAGGTTCTGGCCTAGCTTACCTGTCTGAACATATCTCCTACTATGAACCATCGCAAAGTCTAAGATCGACGGGAGAGGCCCTGCTCTCGGTCCCACTATCCTCGCAAGCGCGACTGGTGGAGACGAGAGACAGGGCCTTCTCAGAGGTGGCCTCTTGCATGTGGAACTCTCTACCCAGTGCCATTAAATTGGCCCTTCCCTCTTGTCCTTTAGAATGAAACTCAAAACCTGGTTATGGGACCAAGTGTTTGAACAGTACAGGCAGCAATTTAGATTTGTGTGAATGACAATGGACTGACCTGGATTATGATTTCAGACCTGCATGATTTAAATAATGTTTTCGTAATTTTATGTTTTTATCATTTATTACTGTTGTTTGCATTGAATGAATGCCTGTTGTGATGCCGCCCTGAGTCACCCTCCAGGGGTGAGAAGGACAGGATATAAATATGCGAAATAAATGAATCAATAAGAAGTCAGCTTCCATCGCTCTTCCTGAATAGAAGTCCCAGCATGAGAGTTACAGTCTGAAGGAAGGTGGCTAGTATGGGATAGTATAATAATAACAACAACTCAGCTGCTGCAAGAAGATCGCGCAAACACTACAAGCAGAAGCATAATATTGTTGCTTAGATGATCAACTGGACCTTGTGCCACAAATACCAATTATTGTGATTTTATACTGTATTGTGTGTTCATTTTTTGTATTTTTATTTTTATTGATGTATTTTTGTTGTTCATTGCTTTGTTCTAATTGTTGGGCCTGGCCTCATGTAAACCGCCTCAAATCCCCTTGGGGAGATGGTGGTGGGGTATAAATAAAGTATTATTATTATTATTATTATTATTATTATTATTATTATTATTATTATTATTTGCCTGCAACAAAAAACTGGTGGGATTGCAAGCCTGAAAAAGTTACAGAAAATGAACAGGTCAAACTACTGTGGGACTTCCAAATTCTACTCCTGACCTCATGATCGTGGGAAAAACAGTGTTAATCATCTACGTTGCAATCCCAGGCAACAGCAGAATTGATGAGAAGCAACTGGAAAAGCTGACATGATAGGAGGATTTGAAGATCAAACTGCAAAGACTCTGATGCAAACCAGTCAAGGTGGTCCCAGTGGTGATGGGCACACTGGGTGCAGTGCCAAAGTGGCCTGCATTTAAACACAATCGGCACTGCCAAAATTACGATCTGTCAGCTGCAAAAGGCCACCTTACTGGGATCTGCACGCATTATTTGCCGATACATCACACAGTCCTAGACACTTGGGAAGTGTCCAATGTGTGATCAAATACAAAGCCAGCAGAGTGATCTTGCTTGCTGTGCACCAATCTTATTGTGTATCTAATAATAATAATAATAAAAATAATAATAATAAGAAGAAGTGGATGAAACCATTTATCATATCAGCTGTTGCAAGAAAATTGCACAGACAGACTACAAAGAGGCACAACTCTGTGGCTCAAATGATTCACTGGAACTTATGTCACAAGTACCACCTGCCAGCAGGAAAGAATTGGTGGGATCATAAACTTGCAAAGGTAGTGGAAAATGATCACGCAAAAATACTGTGGGACTTTCAAATTCAGACTGACAAAGTTTTGGAACACAATACACCAGACATCACGATTGTGGAAAAGAAAATGTTTGGATTATGGATGTTGCCATTCCAGGTGACAGCCGCATTGAGGAAAAACAACAGGAAAAACTCAGCCGTTATCAAGACCTCACAATCAAACTGCAAAGGCTCGGGCATAAACCAGTCCAGGTGGTCCCAGTGGTCATTGGCGCACTGGGTGCCGTGCATTATGCATTTGGAAACAATAAACATTGACAAAATCACGATCTATCAACTGCAAACGGCCGCCTTAGTTGGATCTGTGCACATCATTCGAAAATATATCACACAATCCTAAATGCTTGGGAAGTGTTTGACTTGTGATTTTGTGATACGAAATACAGCATATATATTTTGTTTGCTGTGACATACTGTGTTTTTGTGTCAGTAAAATAATAATAATAATAATAATAATAATAATAATACCATCTGCCTGTGACAAAGAACTGGTGGGATCACAAACTTGAAAAAGTTACAGAAAATGAACACATCAAACTACTCTGGGACTTCCGAATTCAGACTGACAGAGTTTTGGAGCATAATTGTCCTGACCTCACAATCGTGTTAAAAAACCAAGCATGGATCGTCGATGTTGCAATCCCAGGTGACAGCAGGATTGAAGAGAAACAACTGGAGAAGCTGACACGATATGAGGTTTTAAAGATAGAACTGCAAAGACTCTGGCACAAGCCAATCAAGGTGGTCCCAGTTGTGATCAGCACACTGGGTGTAATGCCTCAAGACCTTGGCCTGCACTTAAATACAATAGGTGTTGACAAAATTACCAGCTGTCAGGTGCAAAAGGCCACCCTACTGGGATCTGTATGCATTATTTCCTGATACATCACATAGTCCTAGACACTCGGGAAGTGTCTAATATGTGAGCAATACAACAGTCAGCAGAGTGCTTGTTGAAGGCTTTCATGGCTGGAATCACTAGGTTCTTGTGGGTTTTTTTCTGGCTATATGGCCATGTTCTAGAGGCATTTTCTCCTTACCTTTTTCCTTCATCTATGGCAAGCATCCTCACTACTCTGAGGATGCTTGCCATAGATGCAGGCGAAACGTCAGGAGAGAAATGCCTCTAGAACATGGCCATATAGCCCGAAAGAACCCAGAAGAACCTAGAGTGGCCTTGTTTGCTTGTTTGTGTTTCAAATAATAATAATAATTAATGGCTGGAATCACTGGGTTGCTGTGAGTTTTCCGGGCTGTATGACCATGTTCCAGAAGGCCTCACAACCTCTGAGGATGCCTGCCATAGATGTGGGCGAAATGTCAGGGAAGAATGCTCCTGGAACATGGCCATACGCTGGAAAACTCTCAGAAGGCCTCACAACCTCTGAGGATGGTTGCCATAGATGTGGGCGAAATGTCAGGGAAGAATGCTCCTGGAACATGGCCATACGCTGGAAAACTCTCAGAAGGCCTCACAACCTCTGAGGATGGTTGCCATAGATGTGGGCGAAATGTCAGGGAAGAATGCTCCTGGAACATGGCCATACAGCCCGGAAAACTCTAAGCAATAATATCCCTGACATTCGATGCTTCCCTTCTGCCATGCGCCCTGCAGGGGGCGCCTTCGCGCGGCCTGGCAGTCACGTGACATAGCTTCTCCAGCTCCCCCGCCCTTCGAGCCCCGAGGACGCGCATGCGTAGAGCATGCACGACCCACTCGGGTCCCGTTTCCACGCAGGAAAAACAACCCACTAGGCTAGGTCCCCCCTCCCTTCCCTTCCACTGGGAGAGAAAGGGCGCCTTTGTTGGCCACTACCCGCCTCCCTGTTTTTTTTTGGGGGGGGGGGGGAGCTGCCTTATGGAGCTCCTCCCTGGCATTGCAAGGCCCGCCCCCTGCCTCCCTCTGTCCGGAGGGGGGAAGGAGGAGGAGGGGTGGGGCGTTTCCAGTTGGGCGCCTCTCAAGAATGTCTCTCCCCTCTCGCTCCCTCCTCCCCCCTCTTCGCATCCGGACTCCGGAAGCAGCTGATGCCGCCGCCCACGCGGGGTATTTCGGGGGAGGGCAGCCCATCCCTGCCGAGGGCGGGGCCAGGAGGCGGGCGGGCGGGCGGGGGCTCAGCTGGGGAGAGAGAGAGAAGAAGAAGGGCCAGGAAGGGAGCCCTGCAAAAAGCCAAAGCCCGATCCCTCCTCCTCCCCAAATAGTTTTAAAGTATTGGATTATTTGTGTATTATTACGATGCTGTATTATTATTATTATTGTGTATTCAATGGGAACTTGTTTTTGGTCTTGCTTGGAAGAGGAAGTCAGGATAACAGCAACAATAATAATAATAATAATAATAAATCATACAGAAAGTAACACATCCGAGCCAGGATTTTGATTCGGGGGGTGGGCTCAGGATCTACCCTAACAAACCTTTTGTATCATTACCCCAATACCCCCATGCATATGGGATATGAACCCACCAGGACTTTGAGATCTTCCGGGGAGGCCCTGCTCTCGGTCCCACCAGCATCACAAGCACGGCTGGCGGGGACGAGAGATAGGGCCTTCTCGGTGGTGGCTCCCTGACTGTGGAACGCCCTTCCCACAGACATTAGATTAGCACCATCTCTAATGGCATTCCGCAAAAAGGTAAAGACCTGGTTGTTTGTGCAGGCGTTCGAATAATTAGTGCAATGACTGGCAATGACATAGGAATGGAACAATGGATGACGAATCTGGATCATGTTTTTTAGTGAAGAGACGCTATTGAATGGTTATTATAGTAATTGTATACTAACTGTGTATTAGATTGGTTATTAACTGTTTATATTGGTGTATTAAATTTTGCTGTGTCTTGTGAACCGTTGTGAGTCGCCTCCGGGCTGAGAACAGCGGTATAGAAGTAAAGTAAATAATAAATAAATATATTGAGCATGGTGATCAGATCATTATATGAATCAACGTAACAGTTTAAATAATGTTCCAGTAAGGACTTCTTGCGGACCACCCTGAGAATTTCCCCCCCTCCCGGCTAGGGACCTGTATCCAAGCGTCCCCTGGGCAATTTCCTTGCAGACGGCCAATTCTCTCACACCAGAAGCAACTTGTAGTTTCTCAAGTTGCTCCTGACTCTTAAAAATAAATACAGAAAGCAACAGCCAAAGCTGTTGTTTTATTAATTTTATGTTATGCTGTTTACTTTGTATGTTTTGGTGATGTTGCTTGGAAACTGCCCTGAGTCCCCCTCGGGGAAAATAGAGCGGTATATAAATAAAATTTTATTTAGTTAGGACATTAAGATCGTCTGGGGAGGCCCTGCTGTCGGTCCCGCCGGCCTCACAAGCACGCCTGCCGGGGATGAGAGACAGGGCCTTCTCAGTAGTGGCCCCCTGGCTGTGGAACGCCCTTCCTACAGACATTAGATCGGCCCCCTCCTTATTGGCATTCCGGAAGAGAGTGAAGACCTGGCTCTTCGAACAGGCTTTTATTTATTTATTTATTTACTTACTTTACTTGTATACCGCAGTTTCTCAGCCTAACAGGCGACTCAACGCGGTTTACAACAAGGATAAGAATCAAACAACGATATACAATTTAAAACCACAAAAACATAATATACAATATTAACACAACAATAGACAACACAATGCATCTCATAACTAGAGTCGTGATCCAATTCGTCGTCCAATTTTCCAATTCCTGTAATCATCACATTGATTGCACTGTTTAACTGAATGCCCGTTCAAACATCCAAGTTTTTAATCTTCTTCGGAACACCATTAGCGAGGGGGCTGATCTTACCTCCATAGGAAGGGCGTTCCACAGCCGGGGGGCCACCACAGAAAAGGCCCTGTCTCTCGTCCCGCCAGCCGCACCTGTGAAGCAGGCGGGATGGAGAGCAGGGCCTCCCCAGAAGATCTTAGAGTCCTGGCAGGCTGATAGGCAGAGATACGTTCGGATAGGTAACTTGGGCCAGAACTGTTTAGGGCTTTATAGGCCAATGCCAGCACTTTTAACTAAACAGTGCAATTGATTGTTTACTGGAATATGGATTAATGGACAACGAGATCGGATGCTGATTCTATTGATGAGACGTGATGGATTGTTGTTTTGCTGTATTGTTGCATTGATGTTTTTGATGTTAATTAATTGATACTACTGTTTTAAATGACTAATGATTTTGTACTGTGTTGCTGATACTGGTTGTTAACCGCTCTGAGTCGCCTGATGGCTGAGAAGAGCGGTATACAAGTGAAGTAAATAAATAATAAATAAATTTATTATTTACAAGGTCCCATCAGGCAGAGAGCCCACTGCAGAGCCGCTTGCGCGTGCGCACTCCGCTCGGCTTCCTTCCCTCGCTCTATCCTGGCGGGGGGCGGGGCTTCGTGTATGAGGGGGAGAATGGGCGGGGCTTCGGGTTCCGCCTTTTGCCCTGTCCTGTCGAGCGCGCTGGGAAGGCGGGGCTTCGGGTAGAGATGAAAGGGGAGAAATGGCGTGGCCTAGAGGAGGGGGCGGGGCCTCGAGTAGAGATGAAAGTGGAAGAATGGGCGGGGCCTCGGCTTGGGGTCCTTCCCTTGCCCTGTCCTGGCGCGCACGGGGAGGGCGGGGCTTCCGATAGAGATGAAGGGGAGAATGGGCGGGGCCTCGCCTTCTCTTGTCCTATCCTGGCGCGCGGGGAGGGTAAGGGGCGGGGCCTCGGGTAGAGATGAGGGGGGAAAGAAGGGGCGTGGCTTCGGGTGGTGGGAGGAGGGGGCGTGGCCTGGCAGAGGGAGGGAGGGACCGCCTCTCCTGCTCCAAAGGGGGCGCTGGGCGGCCGGGGCCAGGCTGGTCACTCGCCTCTCTCTCCCCCTCCTCCTCCTCCTCCTCCTCCTCTTCGAGAGCCCCCAAAGGGCGGAAACGCCCCCCCTCCCTTCTTCTCCTTCCTGAGGCGCAGATGCGGCGCGGCCTCTTCGGAGGGGGGCTCCGTCGGGGCCGGAGGGCGGCCGGGGAAGGAAGGAGGGGCTGAGAGGAAGGAAGGAAGGAAAAGGGAAGAAGAGAGGGAAGAAGAGAGACCCCCCCCCTCGGGACGCGGACAAAGCCAAGGTGAGGAAGGGGAGGGGCGGGGAGGGGGGGTAGAGGGAAGACAGACCTCAGCCGCTTAAGCAGAAGTATGGGCCAAGTTGGGCCCTCCAGGTGCTTTGGACTTCAACTCCCATCGTTCCTAACAGCCTCAGGCCCTTTCCTTTTGCCCCTCAGCCGCTTAAGCGGCTGAGGGGCAAAAGGAAGGGGCCTGAGGCTGTTAGGAACGATGGGAGTTGGAGTCCAAAACACCCAGAGGGCTGAAGTTGGCCCATACTTCACTGTGAGCCCCCGCCTCAAAAAACAAGGCCTTTCCTGCATTGCAGAGTGATGGGATTTCACTGGATGGCCCTTGAGGTCTCCTAACTCTGTGATTCAATTATTATTGTTGTCATTGTGATACCATCTGTCAGGAGAGCTTGGATAGGGTCTTCCTTCCAAGCAGAGTAATGGATTTGGGTTGGATGGTCCTTGGGGTCTCTTCCAACTCTAGGATGATGATGGTGATGTATGGGTTGGATGGCCATCTGTCAGGAGGGCTTGGATGGGGTCTTCCTTTCTAGCATAATAATGGGATTGGGCTAGATGGCCCTTGGGGTCTCTGCCAACTCTAGGATGATGATGATGATGCAGGGGCTAGATGGACATCCGTCGGGAGGGCTTGGATGGTATCTTCCTTCATAGCAAAACAATGGAATTGGTCTGGATGGCCCTTGGGGTCTCTTCCAACTCTAGGATAATGATGATGATGCACAGCTTGGATGGCCTTCTGTCAGGAGGGCTTGGATGGGGTCTTCCTTCCAAAGCAGAGTAATGGGTTTGGGCTGGATGGACCTTGGGGTCTCTTCCAACTCTAGGATGATGATGATGGTGATGCATGGGTTGGATGGCCATCTGTCAGGAGGGCTTGGATGCGGTCTTCCTTCCTAGCAGAATAATGGGATTGGTCTGGGGGGCGCTTGGGATCTCCTCCAACTCTAGGATGATGATGGTGATGCATGGGTTGGATGGACATCTGTCAGGAGGGCTTGGATGGGGTCTTACTTCCTAGTAGAATAATGGGATTGGGCTAGATGGCCCTTGTAGTCTCTTCAAACTCTAGGATGACGGTGATGGTGATGCACGGGTTGGATGGCCTTCTGTCAGGAGGGCTTGGATGGGCTCTTCCTTTCTAGCAGAATAACGGGATTGGGCTAGATGGCCCTTGGAGTCTCTTCCAACTCAAGGATTACGGTGATGATGATGATGATGATGATGATGCAGAGGCTGGATGGCCATCCGTCGGGAGTGCTTGGATGGGGTCTTCCTTCCTAGCAGAATAATGGGATTGTTCTGGGTGGGCCTTGGGGTCTCTTCCAACTCAAGGATGACGGTGATGGTGATGTTGCAGAGGCTGAATGGCCATCCATCGGGAGGGCTTGGATGGGGTCTTCCTTCTTAGCACAATAATGGGATTGTGCTGGATTGCCCTTGGGGGTCTATCCAACTATTGCTGCTGCTGTTGTGACACATCTGTCAGGAGGGCTTGGATGGGTGCTTCCTTCCTGGCAGAGTAATGGGATTTCACTGAGTTCTGTCCAACTCTGTTATGATGATAGGAGCCTGCGGTGGCGCAATGGGTTAAACCAGTGGTTCTCAACCTGTGACCCTCCAGGTGTTTTGGACTTCGACTCCCAGAAATCCTAACCAGCTTACCAACTGTTAGGAGCTGTGAGAGCTGAAGTCCAAAACACCCGGAGGCCCAAACGTTGGGAACCACTGGGTTCAATCCTTGTGCTGGCAGGACTGCTGACCAAAAAGTCGGTGGTTGGAATCCGGGAAGTGGGCTGAGCTTCTGCCTGTCAGCTCCAGCTTCTTATGTGGGGACATGAGAGAAGCCTCCCCTAGGATAGTAAAACATCTGGGCGCTCCATGGGCAACGTCCTTGCAGATGGCCAATTCTCTTATACCAGAAGCGACTTGCAGTTTCTCAAGTCACTCCTGACACATACAAAAAATGGGGATAATGATGATACAGAAGCTGGATGACCATCTGTCAGGAGGGCTTGGATTGTGGTAGAAGAGGGTTGGATGATCCCTGAGGATGGGTTCCATCTCTATGAGTCTATGATACTATTTTTGGGGGGCGGGGGGTGTTCTCTTGACTGGCCCCACATAGCATGCCTTTTCCTTTGTGGTCCCCACATTGCCCCTCCCTCACTCTTGGTCCCATAGCTCCCCAGTATAATAAGGGGCCTTTCCCACCCTTTCTCTCTCTGTGTGTATGCCTCCCCCCCCCCTCTATTTCTGTCTGGCGCTGCCTCCTCCTCCTCGCAGCAGTCGCAGCTGGGGCTCTGCAGACAGCCTGGGGCCTGGCAGGCTCCCTTGGCAGCTGCCCAGGTGGAAGGAACGCCAGCAGCGCCGCCTCCTCCTCCTCCACTGCTGCTCAGGATGCCGCTGCTCAATGGAGGAGGAGGAAGAGGAGGCGGTGTCGGTGCCGGCGGCCTGGTGATGAGGTGGCGGATGCTGCTGCTGCTTCGCTCTGCTGAGCAGGGAAGCCAGGAGGAGGAGGAGCAGGCAGGTGCCCTGGGCAAAGCAGAGGGGGGTGGGGGCTGCCTGTGTCTGTGAAAGAAAAGGGGGCATGGAGGCTGTGCCAAGCCAGCCATCTGGGCACAGGGCCCTCTTCCTCCCCTTTGGCCCCCGCTGGGCATTGTCCTCGGCTGCTCTCTGCAAAAGTGGGGGAGATGAGATGAGAAGCCTCTCCACAGAGGCCCCCATTTTTGGGGGGTCTCCTTCCAAACAGCTATGTCATACCAGAGGGAGGGGATCATGTTATCAGACCCTCAACACATGCATTGAGACCCCTCCCCAGTATGGGTTAGTGCCCCAACCCCACCCTCCAAGGCTGGGGGTCTGTAAGAAGGTGACAGGGAATACGAATCACTGTTTATTATTATTTATCAAAATATATCTCATGTTTATAACAAAATTAATTTGGCTAATAAGTGGCTTTCGTTGCATATTCAAATCAGGCAGCTTTGACTCATTTTAGACAAGGTCCAAATTGAGCAGTGTTTCTCAGTCTTCTGAATGCTGTGACCATTCATGTTGTGGCGATCCCCCAACCCTAAAATTATTTTCTTTGCTACTTCATAACTGTAATTTTGCTACTGTTATGAATCGTAATGTAAATATCTGATATGCAGAATGTATTTTCATTCACTGGCACAAATACACAGTACACCCCAAATCTGAATACTGGTAGGGTTGCAGAGGGGATTGGTTTTATCATTTTATCATTTGGGAGTTGTAGTTGCTGGGATGTATAGTTCACCTACAATCAGAGAGCATTTTGAACCCCAGCAATGATAGAATTGGGCCAAACTTCCCATACAGAAACCACATGGCCAACAGAAAATACTGTGTTTTCTGATGGTCTTTGGTGACCCCCTGACACCCCCTTGCGACCCCCCCAGGGGTCCCAAGAAACACTGAAATAGGGGGAACCTCTTAGATCTCCCCCTACAAAGGATTTAATAAAAGTCCCTGCTTGGACTTGGCCCTAGGATCATGACCCATTGGGATTCCTAAGGGAAGGAGGTTCGTTTCTGGGGAGCCCCAGCAGGAAAGACCTCTGCCCCCCTCCCCAAATAGGTGGCTGCTGTGTCCCTTGCCTATTCAGGCAAGAATTCCCTTGCAACTCTTTGTGCCAGAGGCTTTGGGGGATTGGGGCCCCTTTCTCTCCCTACTGGGACCCCAATCTAGGCAAGAGGGCCCTGGTCAGGGAAGAAAGGGGTCACCTATCTGTCCCTCAGTTGGGACAGAGCTGGGAATGAGTGCTTCAGTTCTCACAGATAGCTTCTGATCGGGAGTAGTAGTAGCAATAATACTGATCCTTTATTATTATTTAAGTAATAAAGGATTTAAAGATAGAAGTGCAAAGATTCTGCCACAAGCCAGTCAAGGTGGTCCCAGTGGTGATTGTCACACTGGGTGCAGTGCCTAAAGACCTTGGCCAGCACTTAAAAACAATTGGCGCTGACAAAATTACATGCATTATTTGCCAATACATCACACAGGCCTAGACACTTGGGAAGTGTCTGATGTGTAAGCAAATACAAAAGCCAGCAGAGTGATCTTGTTTGCTGTGTGCTAATCTTGCTATGCATCTAATAATAATAATAATAATAATATTAATAATAATAATAATAATAATATCACACAGTCCTAAACACTCAGGAAGTATTCGACTTGTGATATTGTGATATGAAATCCAGCATATATATCTCGTTTGCTGTGACATTCTGTGGCATAATTCATATTTATATGTTGGGTTGTATAAATTTTGTTAGTATGGATGTATTGTTGTTGTGTTCGGGCATTGAATGTTTGCCTTTTATGTTTGGAGTCAGCCCTGAGTCCCTTTGGGGAGATAGAGCAGAATATAAATAACGGTTTTTTAAAATATATATATATATATATATTTATTTATTATTGTGTCAGAATAATAATAATAATAATAATAATTATTATTATTATTATTATGTGGGTTGTTGTAGGCTTTTCGAGCTATATGGCCATGTTCTAGAAGCATTCATTCCTGACATTTCACCTGCATCTATGGCAGGCATCCTCAGAGGTTGTGATGCCTGCCATATATGCAGGTGAAACGTCAAGAGAGATTGCTTCTAGAACATGGCCATATAGCCCGAAAAACCTTCAACAGCCCAGTGATTCCAGCCATGAAAGCCTTCAACAATAATTTATGTGTTACCCACTTCTCCTTAAGGCTTGAAGGCAGACCCTCCACTCTGGTTTTGTGCAGAGAGGGCTGCCATAATTCAAGGCAGGACAGGAGTGGGGAGAGGGCTGCTTGTGAGTCCATTGCACAAAAGGGCTGCCATGTATAGCTATTGGGGGGGGGCATGTGCAGGCAGACCCTGACCCATTTTCTTGAGTCCTGTGGGCTCCCCTCCTGCCTCTTCTTGTGGCTCTGAAATGCTTTTAAAAGCCTCCTTTTGGGGTGGGTGTCCCTCCAGGTCAAA